ATGAAGTAATGCTCAATAAACATGAAGTTGCCTAATCAGGATCTCCCGCAAGTGGGGGTTTTCATCGATGGATCTGATGGCCTCCAATTACACCTACCAGCTGCCTGTGCACTTCTCCGGAGACCCTTGTTCCTTGGGGACCGATGCATTGGGCCAGAAATAGACCATTAGTCTACATCTTTCCTTAACTACTTTGGAAAATTCAACAAAATGGTTGTAGGCAATTGCCATCTTGCCAGGCTGGTTTCTCAAGCTATGGTTTCCACTGTTGTGGAAAATGATGTGTGGCCCTTTGCCACTTTCCCTAGAGGAACTCCTAATCCAAGGTCAAGCTATTCATCCATGTCAAGAGAGGTTACAATTGGCAGCTTGGAAATTGAGAGACAGAAGTTGAAAGACTAGGGGCTTCCCAACGAGGTAATAGATACTTATTTGTAAGCCAGAGAAAGCATCTACCAATTATGGCTGCAAGAACTAATGAATGGAATCGATTTATAATCTATAATGAGAATCATTGGCAACGATTCTCATCATCGATTTTCATTGCTTTTCCATAAGTTGCCTCTGCTCCTCCTTTCTCCTCCCCGCTGGTGCTGGCTGCAGCGGTCTGTGTCTCTTTCAATCCCCGCTGCTCCCCCGCCTGTATCTGCAGAGGCAGCGGGACACAGCCGCCCGGTCCTTCTCTGCCCCCTGTGCCTTCCCTGCTGCCCCGTGCCTCCTCTGCCCTGCCCCCAGTGCCTCCGCTGCTGCACCGTTCCTCCTCTACTCAGCCCCAAGTGCCTACGCTACTGCCCCGTTCTTCTTCTGCATCTAGAGGCTGGGAGCCATATCCAGCCTGCTATTGGATATTTTCAAATGCAATAGCAAATAGCAGGCTGGCTATTGCACCCACCCACTGACGCTGTCAATCAGCAGAGGAGGGCCTGATGGAGAACTTTTTCCTTCAGGTCCCGCCTGAAGGATTTTAAATCCAGGAAACTAATTAAAGTGTCTAATATAATACATACATTTTTTTTTTTTTTTAAGCATGCATGTCTTTATGAGGTTTCAAAGAGTACACAAAAGTATAACAAATGGCTGTGAGATGGTATTCAAGTAAGATTATACATACAAAAGACCCAGCCGGGTTCTTGTCTTAAGCATAGTACATACTGTCATCTTATGAATATATAATAGTAATAACAATAACAAAACTGTAACCGTCCGTCGCTTGGAAGAACATTGGTATCATGGAGATACTAATAACAATCCTATAACCAGTTTAATGTACAATATACTGTATCAACTAAGTATATGACTAATGTTCAAATATATGGTTATATTAGAAGAGGAGAGGGAGTGAGTGGAGGATGTTTCAAGAAGTATGAGTAGATCATATAAATACCATAACTTAAAAGGTTTTGATTACAATGCAATGCTTATTCCTTAGTAGAACGGAGATCACCTGGGTGTGAGTGTGAAAGGGAAGATAGAGGAAGGTATATGTTAGTCAATGAATGAATAGGGGTGGGAGCTACTGCGTAACCATAGGTCCCCCAAAAGGAATGATACAGATCTGTAAATATTCAAGCAGATAGTTACAAGACATCAAGTTGACCTAATGACCCATCCGACTTAGCTAGGAGGTACCATGTGGAATGTTGAAATATGGTCATCACATCCTTGAGCTGGGGCCTTGTCAGTTCCTGTAATAAGAACTTTGTCCAGTTCTTAAAGAATTTACCAGTGAGTTGAAGGTTGTGTTTGGTATCCAGTTTCTGGATGAATACATACAATTTTATAAAAAACATTTTATTTTATCCGATTAATCGAAGTTAATAATCGGCTAACTAATCCATTTGTGGAAATAGCTGTTAGCTGCAGCTCTACTACCAATACTACACATGTCAAGGAAAAAAATGCATTGTTTGACACAGACAACACTATAGATCATTTTAAGCCTTCTGTTACTCACTTGCTCCTGTGGTGCTGAGGGTGAGCATTAAATGACTGGCTCATCCTGACGACATTACACAGCTATGCAGAATGTTGCAAGTTGTTTTGGGCAGGCCCCAGTGGCTGTGCAAATGGAAAACAGGTATGGTACATACATTCAATGAAGATGTTTTAAAGCTGCTTTAGTGATAGGTACCTATGGAGGCTTTTGACTGCATGGGCTATTTATTTTTTACGAAGATGAACTAACCTTTTAAACGGTGTGCCCCTTTTATAACCAGTGATGTTCCAGCTGACCTTTTTTCAAGTGCAAGTTATAGAGGAAAAAGGGAAAATGCAATTGGTTTACAAACTTTACAGACTACTGCTCTTCTACCCTCCAGTTTGTGCACATGGACACAAATGGCACCTTGAGTAGCAAAACCATTATTTATTACAGAAATTGTAGTCTGTCAGTAGCTCTTTACATGCATATAAAAGAATACAAGATCTGGAGGTGGAAAACTCAGTGAGCAGCATTCGGTACTACTATACTGTATTTCCACAATAGCAGCATTAGCTTAATCACAATGATTACATGCACAGCATTACAGTATGACACACAGAATGCTTGCCTCCCCTGCATGTTTAGATGGTAAATTGTGCTGTTCAGCTGGAAGATATGAAACTAAGGAACATGCTTTTTCTCCCCCCAACAGTCATTAAATAATGATGATGTTAATGTAAAATTTTCCTTTTAAAAATTGTGACATTTACATTTGTAGCAGACTGGAATTAAAATATGCATTGCTAAAGTGTTAAGTTCTTAGAAATGGATTAATAGAGTATGCATCACTTGAACAATACATTGTAAAGGTATTCCCCCCCCCCCCCCAGGGCAGCGTTTCCTCATCTTTTTTCAGTCATAGCATCCTTTTCAAAGGGATACTAAATCTCAAGGCTCCCCAGTCTAAAATGTAAAAAAATTACACGTAGTCCCCCCAAAAGAATCAAAAAACCGACCTGTATCATAGATATGGTTCTAATATGGCATAGATTTTAGGAGGGCATCCTACCCAAAAAAAGCTTCACATTCGAACACCCCAGCTGGCCTGCCTGCACCATAGAAATACGGTATATGATGTTGGGCAAAAACTGTATTGCACCCTGGTTGAGAAAGGCTCAATAGAAAAGTATTTTTAGAATAGCAGTTTCTCTTCCTCTATTGACATAACATTGTAAACCACACTTCTGAAGAGTCAGGGTACTCTGTGCCCATAAATTGGCGATAATTGCTTTTAAAAAAAACAAAACACAAGTACAAAAAAAAAATTAAGAGTGTCTATCATCAGGCCTAGGCATTCTTGTGTGGGGAGCAGGGGGGTATACATATCCTTATACAAAAAGCTACTTTGTGAAATTTGCTATTTGCACATGTAAGTTAAGATTTTTTTTTTTTTAATCGGCCTTTATTATTTTAACTTCCTGTGTGAGAATTTCTTCAGACAGATGTTCACTGTGCCTATTTTATACTGCATGACTCTTGAACTTTAAATTTTTCATGTATAATGCATTATTAGGGGACATTTTGATGATTTATATACTCGCCTGTTACCGGGAAGACTCAATTTGAATGGTCACGTGTATGTCACAGTATAGAATTGTGCGTCTGTGTAATATACTTTTCTTCATTTTTGGTTTAGCTTTAAGTCTGTCTCTAAGAGCAGGCATCCCTACCTGTACGGATGTGCTATTTCAGGTCGGCGGGTCTCTCCTGGGTGCAAGTTTTTTTTGCACAGAGGTGCACATCCTTATGAACAAGGCCAATATGTTTGGATTTCCCATTGGTTTCTGTACAGGAGACACCGGTCATCAGAATTTAAAATGATGGTGAGTGCCCCAGTATGGACGCAGGGATAAAAACCTGAAACAGGTTCCAATCACTTTGCATTCTATTCCACACTCAAAATGTATACTGTATGTGTGTCTGTCTACCTACCTACTTATCAGTACAATTTGGATTTCTGCTATTTGCCCATCTGTAGAATGTTTGTTTTGTGGGGGGTAGGGCTAGTGTTCCATCTAAAATTCTTAGCATTCGATGAATACCACCATATTTCCTTTTAATTTCATAGCTTTTATTTTTCTCTTTAAAGGAAATCATAAAATGTGCTTGTTTTTCTCAGTTTGATGAGGAACTATGAAATGCATAATCTAATTGGAAGTCTTTACCTAGATTTAGATCTTGCTACAAACACTTCATGAGCAAAGCCCAAGGTTTATTACAGGGGAGTACTTAAAACCTTTTTGTCACTAAACATCCTTCATTGCGACCTTCTTTGTAACTTAATTTGTTTTCTTTCAGCCTTTTTAAATGGTGCTTTATAGGTGTAGGAAAACAAACAATAACTCCTGAGAGTCGGGGCGCTTGACTTAAACACTTAATGATTCGGTTGGCCTAGTAACAAATGTTCTAAGCGGTTTTAGAAATTTTCAGGTTGCATTTTAGCTGCTAGTAGATTTCTGGCATTACTGAATTCAAAATCTTTTACATATCTGGTTGAGCAGATTCTTTCTTTTTAGTAGCGCAGGTTTAAACATAAAAGTGAGAATTTTATTGGAGTAATCCCTGATCATGAGGTCCATTACTACTGGGGCTCGCCATGACAGTCTTTCATAAAGTCTGCAATAGTAATGCATTGGTAGTAATGAAACTGTAAAAACTGTGAAATTCAGGCAGGGACATAAAATGCACATGAAAGCTAGGGCTATTCTCTCCTCTAGTTGGGTGAGAATATGTCAGCTTATGTGGCTTGTGATAATGGTGAACTTGGCTCAGGCAAGTCCAGCTGTCAATAAAGTCACATTGCCAAACAGTACCTGCTTTACCCAACAATAGCTAAGACGTTTCAGTACCCACCTGCACGACACAATATCGTGCAATAATGCTCCCTCCTCTTTCTTAAATTGACATTTGCCACCTGTAGGACCATGACCTGCCTGCATTGTAAGAGACGCGTGCAGTAACCGTGATGCAGGTAAGCTGTGGCGTGTGGGTTTGGAGGGGCATGAGCACCCTTTTCAACTGACTTTCGTTCTCAATTCCTCCCTCTTCTCTAATATAAATAATACTTTTACCTGCTTTGGTTAGGATCTTTTGGCACTTTTCTGTTCTTGGTTTGAAGCCTTAATGGCCATAGTTATTATCCTGTGTGACACTGGTTTACCATAGCTGCGTAAGTGCAGCCTAGGATATCACTTCAGTGTCCCCCCATGTAGAGAGCAAGACATCAGAGCAACCATGTGGTCTGTACGTATAGTTGCATACTGTGTTCTCCCAATAAGACATACTAGTTTTTGACCGTAGGGGTCCTGTCACAGCTGGATGTTTGTTGCCTGCATATTGTCATGAATGCCGTTTATTGTGCAATTGTTGCTGTTTGACTAGATGACCAAAGTAATGTAATTGTATCCCCTGTAGGCCTGTTGTTTTTAAACCACAACTGTAAAAACTGCAGTATTATTATGACCCTCTCCAATGCATTGGCAATCAAAGGGAAAACAATGTTTTAGGAGGAGTAAGTGTATAATTGAGTAGCCAGATATTACATTCCATTACAGAGATCTCCTCACCTGAAAAGTAAAATGATAGTCAGAAGAAAATACATTATTAGGTCTGTCTACAGGGCTAGCCAGGGGGTGTGGAAACTTTAAAAAAAACTACTTGCCCAAGGACTAAAGCGGGGGCCCAATCTAATTGTCCCTCATGACAATCTACTTGTCATGATACCAAAAATTATTTCAGCCAAAACCATATTTAGAAAAGGTACAAAATTCCCCAAAAGGGAGATCCCACTATTCCTTCAAACAGATATAAAATAGATATTTATAAAAATATATATGTTTATTTATAGAAACACTATACTACATTAAATATGGGCTATCTTTTGCCATCTATTTGGAGATCCTAAAAACATAGGAAATTTATATATATTTCCGTTAAAAACCATATTTAACCGTGCTAAAAAGCACTTCTTATTGGTCAGCGCGGTCACCTTATCATACTTGATCTGGGTCATGGACCATAGTCAGTAACACTATACTTAGTTAAAGAATCGGCTTGACAAATCCATCCTCCATATCTCTCATGTCCACATTATAGGAAATATTTCCTTTTTATTATATATAATGGCAGAATAAAAGGTTTTCCTGCAAAGAAGAAACTATAAACCTACTTTTTCAACTTCCCACGCTGCCAAACACTGTGTCAGTGAACAGGAATCATCCTCTGCAGTCTCTGGTCACTTCTGGGATTGGTAATTTTGTTTTGTTTTTCTTCTGACAAACGAGCAGAAGGGATTTAGGAGAGGAGTCGGTGGCACTACCTGAACCCTTGTCCATGCCTTCAGCAGAGATTACATCACTTTTTGCTATGGTGTTTCGGCATTGAAGAAAGCCTAGGGCACTGGTGGCGAACCTTGGCACTCCAGCTGTTCCAAAACTACAAATCCCAACATGCATCTGCCTCTGGGAGTTATGTCTGTGGCTGTCAGAGCCTTACAATGCCTCATGGGACTTGTAGTTCCAAAACAGCTGGAGTGCCAAGGTTCGCCACCACTGGCCTAGGGCATTGATTTCTGCAGACAAGGTAAGTATTACATGGCTTGTTTTTTTTTTTTTCCATTTTCTGTGTTTTTATTGAGCATGATAGTTTGAATGGGAGAAGCTCATTATAGTATATGTCCATTTTAGACTAATATTTGTAGAAACCTTCACTTTTTTTTATGTGCTTACTGTTCAGTATTTTTGCTCTTTTATTGTATGTACATATTCATATTTGTTGATTTTTCTGGGATTATTATTATTATTCAGGATTTATATAGCGCCAACACGCAGCGCTTTACAGTATAAGGAAGACATTGCAATACAAGATTGCAAGGAGGGATAGTAGTATGACTAGTAGACATGCTTTAAATTCAACCTTTCAATAAAAAAAATAAAAAAAAGACCTAACCCCTATTAGCTTTCTCCCCACACCCCATCTAAAATTTCTAAGTGAAAACTTTAAAAAGAAGAAAAAAATATGTGGAAAAAATTAACAAGATAGTTGCGGCAGACCCACTGGCTTAGATGCCAGTGAAGTCACTGATGCTTCCTGTGGGATCCTGGGAAACCTGAGGATCCATAAGCGGCAATATACTCCTGCATAGTGCAGGAGAACCACAATGAACATCCATATAACACAGTTTTACTGTTTAGGGATTACTTGATTTTGGATTATTTTCTTGTGTTCTTAAAGTGACACTAAACGTAGGAGTTAAACCTTAAAAATGTATTCAAGTACCTTTTTAACGTTTTTTTTTTGCTCGTCTTGAGCAGGACAAAGCACTATTAACATCAATGTATCTTATTTGTGTATCACTCAGCTGTAGATCTTCAAATCATCTCTGAATTTGTGCTGACACTCCTTCCTTCTAGAGGCTGGCTACCTTTGTTCGCAATATATTTAAATACATTTTTGTTAATAGTTGGGATACTTGAATGCATTTTTAAGATTTAACTCCTAAGTGAAATGTCACTTTAACCTGTCGGCTGTCTCCTGCCTGACTTCAGTGCTGACAACAGACAACCTGTTCAGGCTACTTGTAGAGGCCAAAATGACCAAATAACAAAGGCTGTATTTCATTTCATGTTGTTCCTGCATCTCCTTATTTCACAGTTTTAGGAGTGTTGGTTATCAGCACAAAGATTATGCTGGAGATAGGCCAGTTTCTGCGAAGGCTCCCAGGATTTTAGCTTGACATTTTTGTTTGGCTAGGAGTGAATACAGGTAATTGATGAGATGCAAGTGCTGTTCACACCTAGGCGTTTTGTCACTTAAAGCTAAGCACTACGAAACGCTCAAAGACAAGGAATCCCATTCGCTCGTCTTGAGCAGGACAAAGCACTCAAGACAAAGAATGCCGTTCATTTCTATGGCCCCTGTTCACACAGAAGGATTTTCTTGTGTGTTTGTCACACACAGTTTCCCATTGAATTCTTTGAGACCAAAAAGAGCTGTACTCTGCCAAAAAGCAGTTTATCTACTTTTTCCAGCGACGGGTGTTTTTTCTGTTTGCGACAAAACGCTCAGGAGTGAACAGGGGCCATAGAAATGAATGAGATTCCTTGTCTTGAGCATTTGTTGCACTTAGCTTTGAGTGACAAAACATCTAGGTGTGAATGGAGACAAAGGCTTCAGAGTGGGATTATTCATTAACTTTGATTTATGTACATGTTGGTTATTTTTGTGTGTTACACTTGACCCTTTTTGAACAATTAAGGAACTGGCAAACGCTGCATAGCTAAAATGTTATTGATTTGTGTCTGTGTCTTTAGTTTTTATTTCTGGAGTCCACCTAAATGGCTAAACCACTGTCCTTGTGGCTTTAGACATTTATTTTACTTTAGCTATGATAATACAATTACGTTGGTTTGTGTGGGTAATATTATTATCCAGATTCTGGAGTAAAGTAGTAGCTTAGCAAGTGTATGTGCGACTCTACAGCTGTTGCATTTGAGTCCTGTGGCACTGACATGTAAAAGTAGTGTTTTTTTTCTTTTCCCCACCAGTGGTTATATTAATGCTTGCTAGCCAATGAAATAGTCTCTGGTTGGTAAAAAGGGCAAGCCTTTATTTTCAACCTATTCATCTTCCTATTGAAAGATTGTTTGCCAAAATGAACACTGGTAATGGCGTTCATGCTGGGGAAAGCATAGATGGGTTGAGGGGGAACTAAATAGATGCACTGAAATGGAAATTTCAAAACTGAAATGAAAAAAAATTGTCAGAACGAAACCAAAAATGTTTTTTATTCTAACTTTTTCAAATTTGTTGTAATTATTTTTTATAAACTTTTTATTATTTTTATTTTTTACTTCTAGGGGCTTCGGGGAAATATTGGCGATCTAAACAGACCCCTGATATTTCCCTTTTTAAAATATAAAAAGAGATTGAGGACACAGAGGCCTCAATCTCTTTTTCTGCAGCCCCTGTAATAAATGAACAGGAATCCTCTGAGTGTTCATATTCATTGATAACATGAGAACATAGTATGTTTACTATATCCACAATCATGAATGAGCACGAGGTGATGAAGATCACTTCCCATTCATTCATAATTGAGGATATAGTAAACATACCATGTCCTCAATTTACAAAGAGTTTGTACCTCACTTTGCTTTCTAATGGCCTTTAAAGGAGGCTGAGCGAGCAGAGATCAGCCTCCTGTGACAGCACTGCAAGCTGTCTCCGCCCACACCGCTCTCCCGTTCTGTGACAAGAGGCTGACCTTTGCGAGGAGGAGAGACGCCGGTGCTCTCCTCCCGCAGCGCTCGGCCACCTGTGACAGTTTATCTCCTCCCCGCTGGGACACAGAGCAACGCCCAGCGGGGAGGAGAGACAGAACGGATCGGAAAGGTCTGATTGAAAACAATAGACTCTCAGTGGTTGTTAATAATTTGAAACACATTGCTGTTTATAGACACAGACCATGTGATCTTTGTCTAGCCTATAGGTCGCAGAGGGTGACTATAGGTCGCTTAGGGTGACTAGAAAAAATTATGTGGTTCATGGCTAGAAATAGGGTCCTTTTTTCACTTTAGCAGTAGTAAACTCTCAAACTTTTTCAATAATGAATTCAGATCAAACAAATATACATTGCCCAGCAAAGCATTTCTTTACATTTGTGCCCAAAAACTTACAGCCATCATGTTTTCAAACAGCTGGATCCAACTCTCTCAGCTCAGCTTCCCTGAACTTTGAGTACAAGATCACAAGGGGCAGCATAGTCTACAGCATCTCTCAATCTACTAGCTTGGAATAGGCAGAATGAAAAAAGGAGGGGCAGGGAGCAGGGAGCAGGGGATTGCGTTGACCTACTGTGCCTGTGTGTGTGTGTGGAGACGCACATGGCTTACTAACACACACAAGGGTGGCTCCATAGGACCCTGCAACAGGATATTAAGGCCAGTGCTCAGGGGACCAAAAGATTTTTTCAAAAAACTAAAACTTTTAACATCAAGAAGAAACCTCCATTTGTAAGTGATT